TCTATGGGCACATTTTATGAGCAAAAGCAGGTGAGTATGCATTAAGCCTGTAAAAGTGTCGCTGGACCAGTACTTAGTTCACAGTCATAATCACACATTATGACTCCTTAACATCTATACTCTACTGCACTTTTTACAAATAGAATTTGCATTTGGAATCTGGACTTTTGTTCAAAGGATTAAATTCTGGATTTGTCTGGCTTTTTTTTTTTGAACAATCAGCAGTTTATGGATTCTTTGTTGTTAAGTGATCTTGAAATATTTTCCATTGTATGATAGTTTGCCAACACATTTGAAGACCATTTCAAGGAAATGCCAGTTTGGCTAAAGATGCTAGCCAAAACAGCCCAACTAAGGTACAGCCTTCTCATTACACAATTACTGAAGCAGATGCTGAATGTTGGGCTTCAGATTCACCAAGTCAGAAGGTTAAAAAAAATGTCCACTCATTAACTTCATCATCAGGAAGCTCCAGTGCCATTTCCCAGTGTGAATCATGTAAATATATATATACATGTGTTGTAAATTGTTTTGGTTATTTCCTTCAGTGTGTATAAGTAGATATTTTAATCCAACTTCCTTTGTTATATATATGTATGCATAGTTATTTAGATTGTGTTTTAATTTATAGAGATAAAAGGCTTTTATTTAAGGTGCTGACTTTTAATAATTCACTATCTGTGAAAAGTGTATGTTGTGCTATGTTTTGAATTAGTTTGAAGGCAACAAAAAGGCTATTTTAATATATTTGTTATGAAGTTTTTTGTATTTTTACTGTTTATGTTCAAGGTTTGATTTTGCTTCATTGTGTTTTCATTATGCCATTATGATGGCTCAGAAAGCAAGGAATTTCTATTCCTTCTTGATAAACACTCTCCCAATTATCTGACCATTATAGTTTTGAAGAATAAGTAGTATTCACAACATGTGACTCATACATTCTGCCAGACTTTCATACTTGATTATTCAGAAAGCAAGGAACATCTCTTACTTTCAATCATCACCTGCTCATCCTAATGATTGTCCTAGCTTTAATCCATGGATGTCCACTGTTTCACCTGACAGGTAAACAGTCCTAACTAGTGGAAGACATCCACTACCATTTTTGTATAGTCCTTTTCAGCTGATTATCTGCAATCCAGACAAGAGTGAGGGGTGAGTTGCTCTGGTTGGCAACAGACTGGTAGTCCTGTGGAGATCTCCCCAAGTGGTCTTATACTCGACAGATGCTAAATTTCACATAGTTGGCACTCAGTTGCTCTAGCACAAGGTAATATTAACGACTTTTTGGACCACACGTTGTCACCATTGCAATACAGAAACTAAATAACTAAAAATTTTAAAAGTTTCTACAACACTAAAAAGGGTAGGAAAATCTATATGTCTGCATAGTACATTGCAACAAATCTAATTTTCATTATCACATTTGCTGAAATAGAAATTGGTCAAAGTACTGCTCTCCTTATGGGTTAAGCAATTGGTTCTCAATTATACTGACAGACAGTGATTCCTAGGTACCTTACACTGAGTTAAAATAACTAAAAGAATGCTAACTTTATATCGAAAACTTGAACCTACTGTAATGAGTTTGATTACATTATGTTGCAGCAACACTGATACAATAGAGACTGTAGGAGACTAAACAAGGCCTATCCTGTTTCCTGGCAAGTTGGAGGCTTTACTAGTAGCCAACCACAATTCAGTGCATTCTATTCATCTTAAGTAACAATGTAAACACAGTATGATTAATTAGCTATACTCATTACTGTGTTGATTTTTAGTTCTGATCTTTGTTTGAAGTTAAGCACAAAGCTACACAATGGGCTGTCTGTGCTATGCCCACCACGAGTATCGAAACCCGGTTCCTAGCGTTGTAAGTCCGCAGACATACCGCTGTGCCACCGTGGGGGGGGGGGGGGGCTGAACTGTTGTAATCCAGTCTAATCTGTGAAGCTTATGCTATTACAGAATGTTAATGTTAACTTTTGAAGTACTATTTGAATCTTCAAAACAAAATGCCCTTTCTTCATATCACAGAATGGTTTTTAATTCTCTACAATCACATGTATATAGTACAATTCATTAAAAAAATTATAACTATATGCTGCAGAACTTCTAATATGTTCTGAATGATTACATTTGATGAAATTCACATAATGAAAAATATACATGTATATATATATAAGTAAAGGATTTACACTGAAATTATCTGTAGATTTTAGAGTTATTTCTCAATAAACCTTTTCAAAGGAAATATAATCATGGTAGGAAATGTATTTATATGGGACTGTTAATCCGATAATTGCCTTGAATCAATAAATTCTGTTTGTACAGAAAATCAATTCTTACAGACTTCTAAATAAGCTTAACCTAAATACTTACAAGTTAACAAAGAACAAGAAATTAAAAGTTGTGCACAGATATATATTATATTTGGTTCTCACTTATTATTATACTTGTGGTACTCACAGGTTCAATGATTTTCTGTTGAGTGATTTGATACACACCACAGATTAATGGGAGGCTAGTCAGAAAATCTATTATAAAGCAAAAATATGAATTCTTTTAATTGGAACAGAGTTTCACTTGAAGAAAGAGACTGGACAAAATTTGAGCATAATGAAACAATTTTTATTACAAACATAGTAAAGTTAAAAGATGAGTATAAGAGTGATTCATTTACTGTAAATATATCTACAATCTTACAAAAAAAAAGTTGTATCTCTGAGGAACTACCTGACCTGCCAGTGGAAAAGGTACCTATCAATTTCTATACAGTATGTGCAGTGTTGCAGCAACCTTTCTCGTGAGGAAGTACATGTGAAACCCTAAATGAATGATAGTTCCATGAGTAACTGGGGCAAAAGAAACTTAGTGTCCTGATTTCCTTGACTGACTTTCTACTTTCAGAATGCATGCTCAATATGTACAGAAATGTTGAAACTTTATATATTAATTAAGGGAGTATGCCTGCACACAACACATTTCCACAAAATATATGTGCACTTAATGTATTTGAATTCCACAACTTAGAAGAGAAATTTAAGCAACTAAAATGTAACAGATATTACATAATGTATTTTATATATTTGTAAATAAAGTTATTTTATTCAGTATCTTGATTCTTCAATATGTTTTTTTAATAAGCACTGATGTAGAAAAAATTAACACAGACTAAATTTATAAGCCACACATATCTTTATCAACATGTTAACATACACTACACAGACCAAACATTATTGGAATTTATATAATCATAGCAATGACAACACAAAATCTACATTATTATGCAAATCAGGCATAAGAAAAATGGTAATTTATTCTGAAATGCAAATGATTGGAAATTCCACCTATGATATATAACAGTTGTCTCTAACACATTCTCATAATATTCAGGTAAATCATGTTTAAGGTGTTCCAAAGTATGCATGAATTATGGTTAGACATTAAAGATGTTTAAAAATTTCACTCATATGGAGTCATTTGATAAATAAAAACCAACCAATCACATAACTATTTTCCAAGTTTGCAATAAGTGTCTCAAAGTACCATTAGCATAATATGAGGTGACTGGCAATATCAATCATATTTTACCCTTCCACAACTAGTGAAGAATGTTAACAGGATTTAAGTTATTCCAAAATTAAACAATGGTTTAAAGCAACCTTCGGAGAGTACTTGATCATCTCTAATGGTAATTATGTTTCCCTTAGATGTGTGGATATGGTATTGCACATTGATGCCTTTTCTACTACAATGTTTAGATGCATTGGAAAGCACTGCTGGTTCAATACACTAGGTTCAACTTCTGGCAAATTGAAGTGATTAATAACAGTAGACATTAGACTGCTTTTAGCACCCAGGATGGACATTACAAATTTAGCATCATGCCTCTTATTTTTGAGAGGCTGATTGAGTTTACACTTAAGAAGATTGCAACGGGTAGGATGTCTCACCTGTTTAGATGGCATGCTAGCTGCAGATTTTAAGCCATTGCTAAGAACCTGAAAATGGTATTCCAGCATATGAAGGATGCAGGCTCAAAACTGAAACCAAGAAAGTTGGCATTGATGTACAAGTTAGTAGTTTCTTGGTCACATAGTGCAAAGTACAACGTGTAAGTAAACCTTGCAAAGATAGCAATGATCAAGAACTGGATCCAGCTAGTGTAAATGAAAACTGTATAGTGTATATTTGATGAATTTCAAATAAAACTGTCATACAATCAACACACAAAAATTGAAAAACATGTATTCAGAACTTGGGTATGTGAAAGGTCAAATGCTATGAGGAAAAATAAGTACATATTTCTAAAAGAATGTAGCTTCTCCATCCTGCTAATATACTGTTTTATAAAACTATATTGGGTTAATAATAGACTGGTGAATACCAAGTTCTGAAATTCTTGCACTTTTTATAAATACAATTAATTCATTAAAATTAAAGTTATGTATACATAAAAAAGATCAGGAAATTTAACTAAATTATGGGTGCAGAATATGAATTTGATGATTATCTATTACTACAAAAAAGCAAATCTTGTTCTTTTAAAAATACAGATTAACTTGTGAAAATTTAATAAAAGGTTTAATAACAAGTAATTCATAATTGTTGTTAGTTTTATGTTGTGTGTTTTACAATGCATTATAGCAAAATTCTAGCTTTGAAACTTAAATAATATATATATAAAGACAAACTGCTGTACATGAAATGTTTTCACAAATATTATTTTTCAGTTTCTCCCCAGAATGGTTAAAATGTAATATTTCTCCCTAGTACATCCATTCTCTCAGTTCCTTTCACATTATTTGTCACACCCTACACAACAAGTTTTCTCACCAGTGTGTATCTTCTCATGTGTTTTAAGGCACAGATTATTCCAAAGCCTCTTTTGCACAAACTATACAACAGTAAAGTTTCTCACCAGTTCATGTTCTCTCATGTACTAATAAGTTGCCATTTCTTCTAAATTCATTACCATATGCTACACAGATTTAAGGTTTTTCACCAATATGTATTTTCTCATGAGCTGTTAACTCGCAGTCTCTTCCAACTTTTTCCCCACATACTAAACAACTGAGTGGTTTCTCTATAATGTGTATCCTCTCATGGAGTTTTACGTGAGTACTCCTTCTAAATGTTTTAGAACAGACTATACAACTATATGGTTTTTCCCCAGTATGTATCCTCTGATGTACTTTCAGGTTAAAGTTTGTTCTAAATTCTTTATGACATACAATACAACTAAATGGTTTTTCCCCAGTATGTATCCTCTCATGCTTCGTTAAAACATTTTTATAAGAAAATTCTTTGTTACACACTACACAATGATATTGTTTTTTTCCAGTGTGTATCCTCTCATGAGCTTTTCTGTAAGCATTTGTTCTGAATTCTTTACCACATACAACACAAATATATGGTTTTTCCCCAGTGTGTATCCTAAGATGTATTTTTAGGTGACTATTTGTTCTAAATTCTTTGCCACACACTACACAATTGTAAGGTTTCTCTCCAGTATGCGTCCTTTCATGTTTTTTCAGGTTGGTGTTTGTTCCACATTCTTTGCCACATTTTATGCAACTGTATGGTTTCTCCCCAGTGTGTATCCTTAAATGTTCTTTCAGGTAACCATTTGTTCCAAATTCTTTGCCACACACCATACAACAGTATGGTTTCTCTCCAGTGTGTATTCTCTCATGTCTCTTCAGAAAACATCTTCTTCCAAATTCTTTTCCACATACAACACAGCGGTATGGTTTTTCCCCAGTGTGTATCCGCTCATGTCTTTTTAGGACACCTTTTCTACTAAATTCTTTACCACACAAAATACAACTGTATAGATTAACTTCACCATTAGAAACTTTAAGTCCCTTTAGATTACTTTCCTTTGAAAACGTTTTGCCAAAAACATCACCACTGTATGGTTTCTGGGAATCGTAGATTTTTCTGTTTGTACAGGAATTTTTTCCTGTTAAAAGATGATAAAATAAATATTATAATGCTCAAGAAAAAAAAAAAAAGCTATATATATTAATAGCAACTTTTGTTTAAGAATCATAGCACTGAAAAATTAATATTAACAGAAAAAAAAGACAACTCTTAAAAGTTACAAGTTATTTTGTTGTAATTATGAATTTTTTCTCATAAGGAAAATCATAATCAACAACATATTTTATTAAAACGTTTCAACTCAGTTGTCACACCAAACAACTATACTGAAGATCTGAAGTAAACGTTTGACCTTAAGGAAATGTCCAAAATACCCAATCTTTCAGATAAGAGAAATTTACCCGTAAGGTTTTTAGTCTAAATTTAAATGTACAAGAAACAGAAAATTACCAGGCCATCGTCATGGTATATACTAGTGATGCACGGGTACCCGGCCAGATAATCGGCCCCAGCCAGGTATTGGGCTACCTGGTAATACTCGGCTCCGCCCGAGTGTTGAAGTTAGGCATCTAAGCCCTAATCTTTGCAGCAACTAACGCAGTACTGAAAGTTAGAGTCAATAATTGTTTAGTTAAAAAAAAAAGTGTTCTGAGCAACAAAAACTGACCACTTGTTGAAAGTTGGGGATTCAGAGAACAATAGGGGTTAATAACAGGCATGGCTTGAGAAGTGAGTTTCGGGGAAGGTGGAGGTTTTGAGAAGAATAGGGGCTAGGGTTTGAGAAGTTCGGGCTAGGCATTGAAAGTTGAAAGTAAAACTTGAATGTTCTGTTGGTGATTATTCGGTTAAATGTAATAAATGTCAATTTTGTTTTTAATTTTTGTATATATATATTTGGGGGGGGGGTACAAGGAGAGAACTCTGTCCTGGTTGACACCCAGCCCCAGCTGAAGCTTAGTGAGCAGGTATCTGGACCCGGTATTCAGTCAAATGTATTAGTTGCACAGTATTATTATATTGAATGACAATGCTGCAGCAATTTGAACATAAACAGTATATAGGGTAGCAAGTAAAGGTATTCAAACATTTAGATAAACAATCAGTAACACCATTCCACTGTAACTTTTATATCATGCACAGTCTGAGCCTGAAATCACCAATAACTCCATCAGTTAATCACTGAACTTGTCAGAAGTTGTATCATTAAACCAGTATAACATTTTACTCAGTCATTAATGGGATCATTGAGAGTGTGAAAAGAAACTTGTGGTACATACCAAAGAACAAGTTTCTCTTGGAAAGAAATCCTGGCTAGATGGATAGAACTGTCTGCACCATTTCATCTTTTCACAATTTTTTTAACTTAATATTACTACTCAAATCTTTCTTGCACACTATACACTGTATGGTTTCTTCCCATTGTGCCTTTTCCGATATATTTTTAGGTCACTACTTGTTTCAGATTGTTTGCCACACACTACACAACTATATGGATGCAACAAATACAACAATTAATAACAGTTCATGTATGCAAGCATTCATTATTAATCAAAAGTTGGAACAGACTTACAACACAGTATCAACGAGTTGTGATTATGTAAAACTGGCTTCAGTTTGGTGATAATCAAATTTTCTTGAAACCATAATCCCTTCTTACTCTCTCTTCCATTATTTATCACAAAGAAGACCATTGTGATTGTGACATCACACTTAATCTAAACATTTCATGCAATACTAAACAAATTCTTAGGGTTAACTAGGAGTGTGTTCTTTTATATGTTAGACAATGATTAAGACTGTGTATTCCTCCCTGCATCTACAAGTGAATTTATAATAAAAAATTACTATTACCTGATACAAATCCTAAAAGGTGCATTGAAATAACAACCTGGAGGAGCAAGCATGTATTCCTACTATAAACAACTTTCCAACCTTACAGTCAAAGTTTTCCCCGAGAGAAAATTACATAAAGTGTTAAAAAATTCTGTGTGATTTCTCCTCTCATATCACTGACAAAATAAAAATGTGACATGTTCGTACTTAGAATTTTCTTTTGGTGTTTATTTTACCCATATTTGTTTTGGATAAAGCAATAAAAAAACAAATCCAAACTTCTAACTGTAATTTTGATTTTTTCATCTCCAATTATAATTTTTATTTGGGGAGTAGAAAGACTTAGTTGAACTTCCTGCCTGTGCAGATAAAACTTATCAGTTTCTAAATTGAAGCTGTAAATCTGTAGTATTTGTATATATTTCTTGCTTATCTCTAGCTGAAATAGTTTGATGAAGTCAAAGTTAAAAAATATTACTTTCTGTTTTTTTTCCTTTTTCTTACAACTTCCAAGCAGCTAAAAAAAAATCTGATAGCTGGGATTACATTTGTCTTGCAAGCTATTTTCCATAGTTACCTTTGCATCCACACTTTTAATTATTCCATCAGATACTTTGGTTGATTGACAGAAATATTTGTTATCTGTAGACCAGAGAGATGTTTTGTTATGAAGTTATACATAATTTTTCTAGGAAAAAATCAAATTTATATGTATACTTAAAATTAATGGTTGAAACCCAAGTTTGGCCTTGGTAGAATATTGGCTCCAGTTATGGTGATTGTCAACACAAATATTGCCAGAAAATCAAAATGCCTTGAAAAGCCTGAAATCTGAGAGGTTTGTCTTCTTGAATTTCCTGAACAAGTAATTTCAGGTATTTTTAACTCTAAGTAAGACCCAACAAAGTGATTGAGCTAGTACAGAGTCTATGCTAACCAGAGTGGAGTCAACTTAGTCAGAACCAGTGAAGTCCAAGGCTGACGAGATGTGAAAACAATTCTACATTGAGTTACTAGGATGGATGAAAATCACATTTACCAGAGTATGGATCTCATCAAAGAGGGTCATAAGTTCATAATCTTCAGATTCTTATAAATGATGGAACTGAAATAATCATCAATATGCTGACTGTAGGTTTAAGGACTTCAATCAGAATCTAGTTCTGAAAGACACTTGGAAACTTGATTATTTCAACTGGCTAAAAAAACCGAAGAGGAACTTAACACTTGTGCAGATGATGAGACTGAGATACTACTCAGTCACTTGGAGTCTCTTTTAGTGAATGATGCTCCAGTAGAATATAATGAATTAAAAGAGAAAGGATTGAAAAAGTTTTAAAAAACGAAAAACAACAAAAGAAATTGTGACTTATGTTAGATTTTGAGAAGCAATGCTGAATGTTGAAGCCAAAGCTTCTGACTCTGATCTTCAGAATATTCTAGCCTTAATCAAGACAGTTCATGTAATCCCAGTGCATTCAGTTATTTGTAAAAACGTCTTCTCAGAAAAGAATCATGTCAAAAATGACTGGCAGATCAAGCTACACCCAGATGTCTTGTTTGACTACAAAAGTGTCAGACATGAATTAGTGTTGAAGGTTATCATTCCACTCATGCCAATGAACTATGGTAGGCAGGAGGAAACAAGGCCTCAAGTAATACCTTACTCAGCTGTAATAAGGCAGCTGAACTCCTATATTGTTGGTGAATTTGGCTCTTATGATTAGAAAGTGAATAAGTCAGTGTGATAGACATAAAGCAACTCTTAGATCTAAGTTGCTGAAAATCAAAGTGTCAATGACTGCTTCTATTACTTAGTTGATTTTTTTGCTATAGTTGAATGTTCTGAAGTGACAGTTGGAAGTGAAGTAATTATGTAATGCAGCTTGGTTCACTCAGTTGCTGAAATTCTGCTGTTCATTTTAAAAGTTATGAATTTTCAATTATAAATTCGTAAGTATAGTTACAGAGGATTGGATTTAGTGTTTGGGAAATTGCCAACTGTAACATGTCTGTGCTGTAGAATAATTGCAGAAGCAATGAATGTCTCACTATGGATAGTTAAAAGTTTTCCTGTTGGATAATAATTTTCATAAATACAATGTAATACTGAATTATAGGCAAAAGTCTTGAACACAACTCAGAATTTGAGTGCAAAAGGCTTAAGTGACAAATCTAAAGCCACACTGCACCACAAATCCCTATATTCACCTGTATAATATTTATTTGTTTGGTTGTACATGTAATGGTTTTCTTCAATTGATACTTTATCCTTTAGTTTAAATATTCCTCTGGTCACAAGTGTATTATATTGCACTACTATTGGTAGTAGTTGTATACTATTGCCAAAAAAGTATTAGAACAAATTCAATCAAATGAAAAGGGACCAAAATATTTTGCTGACAAGTTTTTATTTTCATATTTTACTAATAATATCTGGAGAGGTGAAAATAATGATGGACAAATAAAATTTAGAGCTGAATAGTTTAGAACAAGAGGTCAAAAATCTAAATTTCTATCCATGACCTACCTATTAAGTTTTCTTATTTCAAAACCAATTATCCTACATCTTATTTATAATACTGAATTACATTTGTCACAAGCAATATAACATTATTAACCAATCATTCCTTGTATTGCCTTTAATTGTACAATTCTTACTCCAGAAAACTTTCCAATTTCACATGAAGAAACAAGATGCATGCTTTGACTTACCATAGATCATTCTAGCTCAAAGATTTGTACTGGTCTATCAGCTGGCTGCTTTAAGGATAACTGGAGGAGGACCAGTAATAACTTATCGTACTTAGATGAAGCACTCTAACCCTGTTTATTTTGTAATAATGTTGATGGTCCAAAATATTATCATGTTCAAAAATTAGAATGTCCTAAAACAAATTTACCTGTCTTTCTTAACAAGCTATAAACAGGTTAAAAATTATGTTAGCTGGTTAAGCTGAACTGCAAAAAAGCAAACAACAGAATTGAGACTAAATATTTCCTAATCTGTTATCCAAATAAACTAGTCTCTGATAAATCTTATAAACAATAATCTGCTCTTTCTATTGGATATAAATAATCCAAAAGTAAATCTCAGAGAGAATTATTGACATGATGAGATAGTAAGGGTGTAGCATATGGATTTAACTTTTTTGTTTATATTCAAGCAAAGCAAGAAACTTGAAGGCTGTAAATTTATATTATGGCTTAGTAATATCTATAGTATAAGTATGTTATTGGTACACTTAGAAGATCATACAAGGGTAGAAAGAAAATTTGAAATGGGTAATTTGGAGTGAAAAAGTATTATGTGATACAGAGAAATGAAATTGACAATTTACTTAAATATTTACTTTCAGTATTAAGAAATTACACAAGTTAAAAATTTGAGTTATAAACAATGTTTTGATGCCAAGTTTATTGACATATAGAAATAAAGAGATGCTTAATTACATTTTAATATATATATATATATATATATATATATATCTGTAAAAAGGTAGTGACATGTGCACTTTGACCTACCTGATTCTATATGGTTAACTCAGTGAAACACTGTCTTTTTGATTAGGTTTTAATTACTATATAGTTACTGAGATGCTCACCAGATGTACATTCTGGGCCAGAGTGGATGCTCTGCAAATCGTTTTTAAATTCATTTTCTTTTTTCACATCCTTATCATCATCTTTTAAACTATATAGATCATCTTCATCACTTTCACTAAACTTGGAAATAACCTCATCTTGATTTAATTCGCAAGTTTGCTCAGTTTTCACTCTGACAAAAGTGTTCTGTAAGGAAAGGACCAGATTTAACAAAACAAAAAACACCAACCAGACCTGTCCCTGAAGCAGTAGAATAATTAAGTCTTCCCTACTAGTGAATCTGCTTCAAGAACTTCCTTACACAAAATGTTTTGTATTGTCTACCAGATACAACTAATTTTATAACTGTTCTAGATTTTATGGTAAAGGGGAAAGAATATTGTACTTCATATATATATAGCATCTGTAGATCATTCAGAAACCTACTTTGCTGCAAATAATAATATCAACAGAAAATCTACAAAGAATACCTGTTTACTACAACACAAATTAAATGCACTATTTAACACAAAGCTGCTGACCACTTTGCCAATTGCAATTAATGTGAAAAATTGGTAAGTAAAAAAAGTCTACTATTTGCCATTGTGGCACTGGGAACCTATAAAATTACAATTAATCATTTCTAAGTTTATTTTCCATCCTTTTTATTTTATTATTCCCATGTTTATTGCATTTTTATAATTTGTGCCATTCACAAATTATAAATTTGCTATTTGACCTACTGGAAGTGCCCCTCAGTCAGATGTTAAACATCATAACTATTACACCTCTACTGGCATTCTATAAACATTGTCAATCTGCAGAATCAAGCATATTTTGTACTCCTAGCTCCAATGGCTTAAAGTTTTGTCATATTTCTTTGTTATGGGCATAGCCACAACCTTACACTGAGAATGACCTATTTGAATAATTTGTGTCTACCAACCTGAAACATAGTACAGAAGTTACTGTTGCCAATTTGAGTGATTTGTCTCCAAACTGGGTGATTTTTTAATGCTTGAGGCAACAAACTGAGCTACATATAAATATTTCCAGTTCCTAACTTATATTGATAGTTTTCATAGCTATGAATGAAGATTCTTACTGAGTAAATCAATGGTAATACTCAACTTTGCAGCTGGGATATGTTAAATTCTAATTAAAATATATACTTGTACAATAAGCATAAGCAGTAATCTAATTATACCTGAAGGCTAATCATAAGCTTGTAAGTTAAGGCTGCTAATTGTAAGTTAGGAACAAACTTCCAAGGTTTAGCATAATAAACCCTAGTGCTGACACAAGCAACACATAATAGTATTTAACTCTTTCATTGGCATACTACAAAAAAAATAATAATAATAACATACCAAGTCCAGGATACACAATAAAAAACAAAAAAACTTAAATTTCAATATTTCATTATTTATTTGAAACTTTAAATTGCTAAAATTTGGGCAAAATTATACATTACCATGGCAGAAAAAATTTAAACTTTTTATTTTCTGGAAGTGTCAAATTTACAATTTTCAAAACCTTATATGGTAAAACAAATAAATAATGCTTAGATTCAATCAATAATTATTAATTCTAATTTAAAAATATATATACACACAAAAATGCACTATTTCAACTATTACCAAAATAGCAATTGCAAAAATGTATTAAAAATTAAACTACTGTCCAGAAGGCAAACATAAACATTTAAATTCAAAATAAAAATCAACATGAAAGATAATTTGAAACAGCTAAAACCTTATTCATGGCAGAAATTATTTTTCTTTACTTTGCATTAACTACGTTTCACTTGTAACAAGAAACATTATCAACAACTGAATAAATATTATGAAAGTTAATTCCAAAATATTATCATTACAGCTAAAATATTGCCTGGATGATCTGTCAAAGTTTTGTACATATAACCATTTCCCTAATAACATTTCTGCAAATTTACAAATTACTTCAGTTCTTGTTTTTTGTTACCTCATCAAACATGTAGTTCTCTGCTTTTTCCTCTTTTGCTGAACCAAATTCAACGGTGCGATCTGTAGATCCTCTTCCTAAAACAGCTTTTCCTGTTCCTAGAAGTATATGATATACCTATCTGTAACAACAAGACTGATATGACTTGTACACCATAACAACTCCTCATTATGATAGGTTATAGGGTATACAATATTTTTGTTTAAGGGGTAGTCCAATTCTGAAAGCCTAGCTCTTAAAAGATAAAATTTAATTCAGCTATCATTAGAGCATGTTCCTCCTTTCTAAAGGTATATCTGTAATAAGAAGTTATGTAAGAAGAAGCATGGCATATAAATAATCACATAAACTACACCATAATTTGTTGTTAAAAAACGTTTAGCACAAATATAGGGTGAAATTGTTAATTATATGGACTTATTGAGAATATGAAACATTTAAGGTCAAAATACATGTCATGATATAAAAGACTGTTTAGTTTAGATCTTATTGATTGATTTGTTTTTATATTTTATTATTGTATAGTTTTTGTTATAATAAAAATTAAAAGCAAACGATTGTAGGAGATTTTGTTAATAATTTATTGATATTGAGACTATTGAATGTCGCGTGTAATACACTGACATCGAGAATATAGAAGGCAGACAAACTATTAGGTGATAAAAATATAAACAGCATGAGACAAGTGGGAAGCAGCAGACAGACAATAGCAAACAGATAATAGAAGAAGAAAGTAAAGTAACAAAAGGAAAAGTTAACTACCATAGAAGTGATAGGCCTAACATTTAATATGTTAGAGTAAGACTAACAAGAGATAAGAAGAAGAATTATTCCATCAAAGCGTGGTTCTAAAGTAACTGAATCAGCCTGAGTGCACTTAAACAAAAAAACACAGAGGATATTCAGAAGAAAGACCAAACGATTACGGTAACTTGTGGTACAACTGTAAATGAATCACACATAGAATAATAGTGCGATAGAAATAGAGAAGATAGTTAGGCTTGTCAACTGAAATTCTAAAGTAATGGAACAGGCCTAAGTGGACTTTTGACAATAAGAAGAGAAAAATATATATGTATAGTGTTTATGATATGCCTGTAATCTTCATAGTGTGAAGACTTTGTTGTACATACATTTAACTTGTTCCGAATATATATATTATTTTAAAACAAGTGAAGTGCGTGCTGTTTATTCATTGTTGAATTTATCGCTAACAAGTCACAGACACCTACTGTAGAAGAATCCTAACCCCAACAACAACACAGTATATATTTATACAATTAACAAGTATAAGTAAAAGCCATTTATTTCGACAAAAAGAAGAAGAGTATATTTTAAATTCTGACAATGGATGCAGGAAGAGGTTTAAAATATATGAATTATTAATAATTAGCAATAAAGGGCTGGTGGGAGAACTACTGTTCCTCAACCATGACACCTCAGATAACTGGGTTCATGTAGTGTTCTCTGACATTAGTTCCAAGTGTCAACGTTAAACTTTGTCAATCTGTGATTATAATCTTGTCAGTGATGTTAATTACACTGGTAGCAGTTGCACTCCATGCTGATATCATCTTAGAGACTTTGCTTTTGACAAATCTTGGTTACAGATGTGCCTGGCAGCTGAATCTTTGTATCATCTCTCTTTCAAAGTTTGTTAGACCCTACCTTGAAGTCATAACGTCTAAAGATGAAGCACAGCAGGGATGACTTATTCTTACTTACGTATTTCAAAGACATGGAGACTAGACTGCATATAGTCTTGTGCATTCAGAAGAGATTCAGTTGTCTGTTAAAAGCAGCATGTGCTGCTCAATTCCCAAGAAATTATGGGATTTAGATATAGTTCTGATGGGAACTTCTGCAAATAAATGTTACCAGTCAAGATGAAATTTTCAGTCAACAGAATCAAAGCCTTAACCTAATGCTCCAAAATGAATTGACCTTGTGTCAATTTATAGTTGTATGATTACCATATTTCATTATCTAAATGCAGGTAAGAAACATAAAAAGATCTTTCTCATAATTCCAACTGAAACCTAAAGAACAGAAGCAGGCCATTAGAACCACACTGAATACTTCTACAGCTGTACAGAAAGACAAAATTAATCATAAAAAGATTTATTACCATTTGAAACAATTAAATAACTTAAGTCTTACACAACATTCCAAATCTAATTAACAAAGTGCCTTATTCTTAAGCACATACAATACATGCAAAAGGCTCTAATACACTAGATATAAGACAGAAAGTGTGGGTTACCAGTTCAGCTGCCACACATGGATGGAATGAGAAAGCATTGGTTTGTGAAAGCTTTCACCCAACAGTTTTCTAATTACCAATGTGGCCACACCCAATAGTGGAATACTTGAAACACCAACAGGACATGGAATCAGGCATAACTGGTAGTAACTAGTTGTTTTTTTTAATGTTCACATGATGATTATCATTCACAACAAGAAAATACAAGTGCTGCTGATTAAAGATTTTTTTTTTTTAAATTTTAGCTTGACAACAAACTGAATCCAACATATTACACACACACACACATATATATATTTGTAAAATGTTAAGAAAAAAAAAGAATTATAACAGTCTACATTTAAAAAAAAAAGTCAAATAAATTGATCAAGGGTAATATTTTTTAGGATTAGCAAAACATTTCATTATCAATAACACTTTTGACTCTCTATATTTCTACGCTTTAACTGTCAAAAGCCATCAAGATACAAGGTAGTGTGTCATGTAGCTAAGAAAAAAATGAGACACGTGTCATACAGTGTATTATTTAGAGGAACCAAAGAATTGCTGTTTTTAGCTATCTGTGACTTAGTACTCCCTCAATGAATTTTTCATCTATATTCCCTCCCAGTTTGGTTACCTGATATTCCAAATGGAAAGAAAGTCTGTGGAGCCAAAACTGAGAAATACAATCCAAAATTAATCTGAAATCACTTAAAGAAATTCCCCTGATCTCAGCTTAAAAATTGGCTGTTTTGTTTTTATCAGATCACAATTCTTGGAATTACAAGCAGAACAAAAATCTGCTGTTATGTAGTTTTATAAGATCTCAATTGACTAGGGTGTCCAGGCCTATAACAGCAAAAAATGTATACATCTTATTATACAGCCTAAATCATACTGTCTCTCCAACATGTGCTAGTTTGCATATATATAACTAAGAATATAATATTGTACTATGCCACTTTGAAAGTATTCTTTACATTTTACAACTTTTCTGCACTGTGAAAGTTCAACTGATATGTAGGCAATGTATGCAAGTGTGTGTAAAATACATCTATTTACAGCTCACACTTGTATATATATGTGTATTTGTAAGCTTTTTTTTTGTTGATCACAAAAACGTGTGATGATATCCCTCACAATCACTTGCGCATTCTGGTTTTTAAAAAGTAGTAATATCTAAACCTAACACAGTGCTCAGTATTAACTACCTTTCATCCACCCATATTGCAAAAAAAAAATGCCTTGAAATCTAAGTTAAAGGAAAACAAATCATGATGCTGCCTTTCTCAAAAAATAGGATAGGAAGGATTTTATATTTTCAATAGTCAGATTGTTCAACAGAAGTTATGTATTAGCAAAGTTTCAAGTTATCTTGCAAGCACCAACTTGCTTGAAGAGTTGAACCTTTCTACTTTTCTCACATCACGAGTTACGATTAAATATGACCAGGATGTAAGCTCTACTGTTATACACATAAATAATCCAATTAATTCTGGGCCCAATCATAAAAAATATTCTACATGGCTTATTTCCAAAATTGTTCATATTACATTTATCATATAAATGTAATAATAGAGGTTTCCATAAACAATATGTTATCCTGAAAAAATGTGCAAAAGGAAAAGGCTTACTTTATTGAGGTTGAAATGGATATCAACAAAAATCTGTTCCAGTCGCTAAAAAGGCTCAGTGCATGTTATCTGTAGTATAAATTATTTTTAAAAAACCCAACAGAGGAATGACATAAGGAGAAGAAGAAAAAAAGAAGAAAGACTGAAACATGGGCAGAGACAAAGAAGGGTGGGAGAAGATCTGCCTTCCATGGTGTGAAGAATTTTAAGATTAAAAATAGAGCCTTTTCATGCACTTTTACTGGTAAGAAATGCTCAAGAATATCTTGTTTAGGAATAATATTTGTGTGTCCTTCACAGTTCTTGACAGCTTTATCTATGTCTCTTGCTTGGGATGCCTTAATTGGAAAGAATTTCAGACATCTTATAAATAAAACTTTTTCATTAAACTTGGCCACTTTGAAGCTAATAATTCTACAAAAAAAAAACAAAAATGGTAGAAAATGTGTGTTGCATGAACACTAAGATACGATTTGTCAAAAGCTACAGCAATATGAAACCTACCAAAAGTATTCATTGTCACTACAAGTTTTTGAAAATCATATTAGATGAAACTGAAATATTCTGATGATGAAAAACTATCTTATACTCAGATTTAATAATTTTATGTTTCAGGAAATCTTAATTGATTAAGTTGATTACAAAGACTAGTTTAATTTTTTTAAGCAGGAGAACTTCTTTGTCTACAATAAAAGATTCAAGACTAAGAGTCCTGTATTACTGATGTTCTGGAGGTATATTCACCTCAATTTAAGAATTTGATGGATTCAAAATTCTATTCCCTTTATCACATTTCTTGTGCCACGATCTTCAAGTCATGTCTGCTATATATAAAACAAAATCAGTTATAATTACTGTGAAGAGATTTGGTACTGACACTTCCCTACAGTTAAATAATAAAAATTTACATCCTGTTAACACTATTAAGCATCTGTGTGTAAACAGAGAAATTTGATTTCTTTAATAATATTAAATTGCGTTTTCAAGGGAAAATATTTGAAACACGACCAAGGAAAACATGCAATATTCATTACATTTATGTGAAATAAAACGTATCCCAGCAATAAACAAAATAAGTCTGAACTTACGATGTGAAGATATTTTTACAGTTTCTTCTTCTTCACATTTTACCAACTTGAGATCCAACAAAACATTCTGTTCCTCATCAGCAAAAGGTTCAATTTTGATCTCTAATACTTCCATTTTCATCTGAAGCTTGCACTTTGCTTATTAAACAAAAGTAAAAAATGTAAAGCTTGTACTTTAAAAAGACATCCAAACAATAAAAAACATGAAATTTTCCTTACCATGACATTTTTTATCATTAGAAATACCAACACAAAAGTTTTTATCCTTGTTTCATCTTTAAACTATAACTATTTCAAGTTATATTGTTTTAAAGTTTTGTTATTCATTACTTTAATTTGCAGTAATTGTGTGTAGTAATCAATAACATTATCAATGTATAATATTTTCATATACCTTAAGAACAAGTAATAATGAGTAGGAAATGTTTATGTCTATGAAGACCCAAACTTATAATCTAAAATTAACTACTGACACTACTAACAAGCTAAATTATTTTACTTTTTAATATATTTAAATTTTTGATTGCTTGTCATTTTACTGGTGAATGAACCCCTAATTCATAGCTGTTATATAATTAACCATAAATACAAACACCAAACTATAATTTCTGAGAAGTTAATCATAACTTCTATACACATGACCTGTTAAACATTTGACAATGTTTACATTTTGTAAAGTAACAGTTACTTTAGAAGCTAACAGTTTGAGCTTCATTTTCACACCACATTTCCAAAATATTACATAATCTTCAATACCATCTGGCATTCTTAGGTTAAAACTAAATCTTAATGTCAAAGTTGATCATTTGGTAAGTTTATATTGCAAGTATTTGGAGTCACAACTCTCATATTAAATTGTAATAGTTAGTAAAATACAGTCACATTTCAATTATTATACATTATGTATGTACATAAATTATTGCTATTTTGAAATAAGTTCTTAAACTTATTCTTAAAACATAGAACAGTAACTAAAGAAGTAAAGCAACAATTATCTCTTCTAGTTACTACCTTTGAATTCGGTTACTGCATGAAGTAGGTTGCTAAGCCTTTAAAACATTTCCACGTGGAGGATACGAAAAGAAATATTTTTTGGGGGTTTTATACATACATTTTAATAACTAAAATAACATAAATTACTACATTAATACCAAAGACTTCCACTATAATTTATCAAGTTTAGTAACAAAGATGTATTTTAGTCTAAAAAAATATGAAATTTCGAGCAGGCTACCTCATTGAAATATTGTTTCAGAAGAAAGAAATGGTGCCAAGCCCGTTAAAATGGCTTAGAAAGCCACTAGGGGGACATTCTGAGCTTCCGATTGGTTATTCATGTCATTCATGGAAATAAGTGTATATAAGGGAGCATTTAAAAAAATTGAAAGAGGTGGTGGGGTGCCACTGTGTTTATTACATGAGCAAAATCTTAGCAAATGGAGAAGAGGTTCTTATTTTATATTTTGGATTGTCAATATCTGTAATTTGAGTTTCTAATTCATACAAAACTACAGACTTAGTAGTCTGACTTCACAAACATTTAATTTGAACCAGTGCTGCATTCACCATACCATGTGACACACAAAAATCAATGTTTTTCTGTGTTTTTTAATATTTGTTTTTAAATTAAGAAATTGAGTAAT